GTTTAAAAAAATAAAAACTTGTCAAGGCCCTTCAGAAAAAGAGTCTCAAAACTCAGCAAGACTCTCCTGGGTGAACAAGAGGAGGAGTAATAATAATAGTAGAAGTAGCAATATCTGCAGACAGGGTGGTGCAGATGGTTGAGCACTTGACTTACACTCATCCTATTACCCCAAGTTCAAAGTTCACCCGTTGATCGACTCGGCCCATCATCTCTCTGCCGCTGATGAAATGAGCACAACTCCGTGGGGAGCGCGAGTGCCACGGAATGCATCGTGCAACAATGGCCACTTGGGTAATTCGCTTGGTGGAATCTTGGACATTCCCGCCATCACTCCAGTGGCCCTCGGCTGGTTCCACAATTCCGGCGTAGAACTCGTCACCCTGCCATACGGAAGAAGAAGGAAGAAGACTGCGACTTCCCCAACGTGCAACGATGTTCCTCTACACCCTCGGCTTATGGGAACGGCTCTTTCTCTGTCCTGAAACTCCACGTTATTGGTGGTCTGACACACTGACCACCTGGCACGTACCTCGCGGTCACTCGTGAGCCGAAGCCGAAGCCATTAAAGGAGCGTAGCGGTATCATCGCAACCATCCCCAGCAGCAGAGAGGCCCAACGGCTGGCTTTGAGATCACAGTTCTACGGACGGCTGCCGATGCGAAGTGGCGGAGGTGTTCGGGGGTGAACGAGGTTCATGGGTTCATTAATTTCGTGCGATGGCGATGACGAAAGGCTATGCTTTGTATGTCTAAATGTGTAACGGATTAAACACGAAGAGCCCGCTCGAGGAACAGTGCGCTATAGTTAGGTGGCCCCATCTGCATTGGCCGCCCATTAATATTCTGTTGTCACCCTAATGTGTACTTAAAGCTCAAACACTGGAAAGGTGTCTTTGTATGTGTGTGTGTGGATCGATGACCACTTTCAAGGAAACCCACGTATGAATGTGGGCAGCCATCCGTGATTGAACTGGGTTCTCAAGTGCAATAACTGTGCACACAAAGAAACGTCACCTTGAGTTTGCTCTATCTCTTAATTTGGCATATTCCGGCAATGGGACCTATGATGATTCGATTGATTGCTAAACGATGTCAAATATTTTCGTAACAAAATGTGTCAGGTGGATTAATGGTTTTTGACGTTGACTTCTGAAGTAGTTTTGTGAAGCAATCTTCCAGGGCCATCCTCTGTCCCAGTCTCTTGACATGACATTGATGGAATCTTTGGAATATAATTGGTGGGAGGCAGCAGGGAGATGTTTTTGAATGATTACATTTCGCAGCGATGATGTGCATTCTCCGGTCTTGTGGTTAGAGGTCAATTCACATCTGGATGTAAAGACTGTATATTGTAATGCCACACAGAGAACGTACTTCGTAGTTAACCCAGCACAAATTAATTAGGAGCCACCACAACTGAATAGAAATTAACCCGTTCCAAGATGACTGCACGTTGCAGGTTGGGTGTCACATTCACTGCTGAAATCTCGGAACACGCAAGCGGTTTGTGTTAATTTTATTTAGAGAGGCGTAGACATTGTTCTCACTGCAGAGAACCGTAGCAACACGACCACACTCTATGATATCTGGCGACAAACTGTGCCACACGCCCTCCTGCATGGCCTTGTGGGAACCTCGGTACCGATAAAGTTATTTAATTAAATTTTTTCTTCCGGACGGAAAACTGACGATGTACGTCATCGGAACGGGACGTACATGTACGCCATCGGAACGGGAAAGGGTTCAAATAAACCCAAGCTGGATAAATATACCCACGGTCTGGTTGCACAATAGACGGGCAGTCCGCACAGCCTCCCTCTACATTTCTTTGGGGAATCTGAAATGTTGGTCGTCTGTTGATATGCGATGTGACCTCATAGCCTCGTTTGCTAAGTAGACAAATGGCAGCACAGCAATGGATTCTTGAGTCTATCTGTGCAAAGCTATGAGCACTACCCTACTTAATTTTTGTGTTTCTTCTTGTACCCTGGCTTCCTCCCACAAGCCAAACATTCACTCGTGGAATTGACCAGACATCCTAAATACAGCAACCTTATTCTTGGTTCTTTCGGTAAAGTCACGTAGTGTTCATTAAGATGCTGTCTTTCCGACAGCTCTGTTTCTTCACCTGAGGACGGCTGCTTGCGTTGTGGCCGAAACGTCGTGAGAATCTCATTTTATTAAGTTTGATTTTTATTATTTTATTATTTCCCTTCTACGTGACTTTACCGAAAGAACCAAGAATATGAATCCCTGCAGTCCACTAAAGCTTTAAATCGAAACATTACAGGAACCTTCTGAAAAAGAGCCTTGAGACTCAGTAAGGCATTTCTAGGAAATAAAGGCCATTACTATTATGACGTGACATTTTCTGGTATCATCGCACGATTCCAAAAATCTCTCTAAGCTGAGACTATATTTTTAATCTGCTTCCTTCACAAATATGTTCCTGCACATGAAAAATAAAAGTATTTTTTTACATATCCCATCCACCGCATGGCCTTCTGGGAATGCATAACACTAAAGATCAAAACCGGTGCAGTCTCCTTATGTTGAACCAGTGCTGCTGAGGTTATGCATTCCTGGAAGGTTGTGTGGCTGATGGGATGCATAAGACATTTTAAAAAATGTATGTGAAGGGACGTACATGTGAACGAGGCGTATTGTGTGCGTAGTTATATTTTTAATATATCCCCGAGGTAACTCTTGTTATTTCAGTCTGCCCATAATAAATCTCAATGGGGTTACGTACAAATATTGTCAACCTGTTCAAATCAGCATGAGGTGATGCTCATCTCTATATATGATCACAATCCAGTGGTGGAAATTCTACATTCCTATGACAGAGGCCGGTCCATCCATAGGAAAACCACTGCTGACGTCCCACAATATCGGTTTTAGAAACTCCCTGAGAGATAATTGGCTGAGTCGGTCTTCGACGGGGATTTTAGTTTGCACACCTTCCAGTTGCAAGACAAGAACTCTTTGCCACAGAGCCACCCAGATGGATCATACCTGCCGACCCATAGGGTTTACCCGTATTCTTGTACAGGAAATTGAAGTTTCACGTCTATACAGCGTACAGCCGTTTCAATACGGGCGAAAACATTTTTTCGTCAATTTGTTTGAGTTTCTCCCTTGTGATGGGACTGTGTAGGATGAACGTTGAGATTTATAAGAGCACGGAGTGACCAATAAGGTCTGGTTTGGTCTGTAATAAGGTAAGCACTGAGAAGGGGTTGACAGGTATGCGTGTATGGAATGTTTACAACGTAGCAATTGCATCTAGGCAGTGATGTGGCACGGCAATCGCACGTTCGCCACTTGTTGAAGAGGTTCGCGGTTCAAGTTGGGCGGCCACCCTGGTTAATACCGGCGGGTGTATTAACTGCTTCACAAAACCCCTGACGTCAATTCGCAAGAATAGGCCCATTGTGTGTCCTGGTGTCAGGGTCCAAATTCGCCAACTTCAAAAAATATATTCGCAAATTACTCAATTGTAATTATACACATTTGGCAGACTCATGTCTCACGCCACTCTTGCGAATGAGACGATATCCTGATCTCTTTAGTTCTCACCTGGTTATTCAAAATAAAGCTTGAGGAAACTCGTAGCTTTCATAACGAAAGCGATGATTTAATCGCAAATCTTCATCACTGTTCTTGCATTCTGTTGGCGAATGCAACAATCCGAAGGAAAGTTCATTTTTTGCACAACAAAGGCTGTCTCGTGTTAATGGCAGTGCAAGTGTACAATACAAGAGATGGATGCATTGTACCCAACGTTGTTGTTGTTGTTGTTTCATGCGCATAATCAGTCTTGTATTGGCTGCAGGGTCACAATGGTAAACGCAGGGGACAATATCGCTTCACCCTAATTTCATTCATCCCCGTATTCAGGCAACTTCAGGCACTAGGTTATATCCACTGGCGATAGAAAACAGGTTGTAACGCTGTCCCATTGTTTCCTTAATAGCTTGTTTCAGAACAGTGCGCACGTATGTGTGTCTTTTTAGCCTGCCTCGTTTTACTGTGGCTCGCCCGAAATATAAATATAAATGCTACTCTGCAATAAATCTGTAAATAAAGGTAAGAGACGGGAACATACAATTCTGCCGTTTATAAATAAATACAGTTTTACACTCTATTTGAATGTTTAGGCGTTTTCCTCCATTAGTAAATCATCTATCTTGTGACGAAAATAAATAACGGTCATTTATGGACAGTCTTTGGGATGATAATGGAATCTGTTAACTCTGATGAATGTTGATGGTGGGGATCATGATCCAGATGTTGCATTGACTGCTTTGCAAATATTCATCATGGTGATGATAATGGAATAAAGTTATATTAAATGATGATAAATGTAGTGGTGACGGTCCTGTTATGTTGATTAATGATGATAATGGTTTTGTTGTTGATTGTAGCAAAGCTTATGGGAAATATTGATACGTATGGGCCCTTGCTTAGTTGACAGAGCTGTGGGTCCATCCACTGATCCCATCATCGACCCAGGGTCTGTAAAGTGAACCAGGGCTCACTGGGACATCAACATTGGTGGGTCAATTCTACTATGGAGAGTATGGCGCCCGCCATAGGAATGTGGACTATCTCACCACCGACTCAAGGCCACACTCACTTTGAGAGATGACTTACAACCCAACACTTGTTTGAGCGCTAAGAGATGTTAGAAGATATTGACCTTTCAACGTAAAAGTCAAGTGAGCATTAGCTGGTGCTCATTTGTGTTGGTGACGTGGTTGGGTGATTACATTTGTGTTCTGTGGTAAAGGCCAGTTTCTCCATCGAACAACTGTCCGGAAAGAAACATTTATGGGTTTAATTTCCCCCCCCACCCCCCCCCCCCCCCCCCCCCCCCATTATTCAAAATCCAGAATCTTAGGCGTGCTGGCTCATTGCGTGGCGGCGATACTTTTTTTTTAACATCGATCAGTCGACGTGTTGCCTCTCTTCTCTCCTCTCTCTGTCTGTCTGCCAGGTAAATGGATGTTCGAAGACTTCGTCGAACGCTTCAAACTGGGCGTCCCAGTGGCGTCTGCCGAGTTCATAACCAAGAACGGCAACGATTCGTAAAAATGTCCGGCCTCACCCGCTGTGACGCTTGTGCTTTCCGCTCTTGCTCGCGACGCCGCTTGAACATTGCAAATGCAATCCCCTTGACTCTGTAAGCACAGCTACGCACGCGCATTACAACCAGTTCGCTTGGGCGAGGAATTTTTTTTCAAACGAAGCCACAAACCCCTCCCCCCTAAAAAAAAAAGGCTGAAACGGTGTTATTTTCATGAATTACTAAAAAAAGAAAAACCCTATCAATCGTGGCGGTGGCAGAAATTTGCTTCTGTAAATTAGAACTGCTGATTCGGCACAAGAATGCACACGTACATGGGGTCTTAAATACCCGAGTCCAGAATGGCAATGACCTGGCCAATCCCTCCCCCCCTTCCCCCGCCTGCTCTCATGAGTCCAGTGCCTGATTACCGTCGATGCAACCGCTAATGCCGTCCAGAATGTCAGGATGTTGCAATGTATGATGTGAGTGAGGATGTGGAATTAACAGAAAAAGATTTCATTTAAAAACAACTGCTGATTCGGCTGTCAAATCGCAGCTCCCCCAGCGACGGGTCCGACGGGAGTGGTTCCAATTCATTAGAACTTTCAAATCTCGCTCTCCGTGCCCTGAGCCCCATAGACCGAAACGACAGAGCCCCCCGTGCACTGCGCACTGCGATGCAGCTTGTGCGGCGGGAATCCAGCGTGAATTTGCTTTTGTTTTTTTTTTTATTTTTTGCTCGTCGTTGCAAACGTCCCAACAGCTTGCTTCATAACCGTGACGTTAGCATTGCCATTATAGCATTTTCGTTATAGCGTTGTCGTTCGCTTTGTCGTTAGCATTGCCATTGTAGCATTGTTGATAGCATTGCCGTTATAGCATTGTTGATAGCATTGTTGTTATAGCATTGTTGATAGCATTGTTGTTATAGCATTGTTGATAGCATTGTTGTTATAGCATTGTTGATAGCATTGTTTTTATAGCATTGTTGTTAGCATTGTTGTTATATCATTGTTGTTAGCATTGTTGTTATAGCATTGTTGATAGCATTGCCGTTGTAGCATTGTTGTTAGCATTGTTGTTATAGCATTGTTGATAGCATTGTTGTTATAGCATTGTTGATAGCATTGTTGTTATAGCATTGTTGTTAGCATTGTTGTTATAGCATTGTTGTTAGCATTGTTGTTATAGCATTGTTGTTAGCATTGTTGTTATAGCATTGTTGATAGCATTGCCGTTGTAGCATTGTTGTTAGCATTGTTGTTATAGCATTGTTGTTAGCATTGTTGTTATAGCATTGTTGTTAGCATTGTTGTTATAGCATTCTTGTTAGCATTGTTGTTATAGCATTGTTGATAGCATTGTTGTTATAGCATTGTTGATAGCATTGTTGTTATAGCATTGTTGATAGCATTGTTGTTATAGCATTGTTGTAGCATTGTTGCGCAGGGGTCACGAGCAGCGCGATGCAGGGAAGGCGTTTGGGGGGGTGAGGGGTTTTTTTTGGGGGGGGGGCACTCCCCTCGCCCACGACCCCAACCCTCCCATCGCTGCCATCTCTGTACTCGAGCGACAATGCAAACTCCGGTGTTACACTTTGTTCATTTGATTTTTAAATCTACGACGACGACGACGATGCCGACGATGAAAAAAAATCATCAAGCATGACGGTGACGACGACTGGCCACCAAAAACGACCAGAGCGCGACTTTTTGTGGCGAGGCTGAAACTTACCGGTCTGAGTGAAGACTCGGACAACGATGACTTCATGACGGTGTTAAGAGACCACAGTGCACAGAGGGAGAACAACAATGGTTATTTGCAGGAAATGTGTTTTTAAAAGTCTTCTCGAGTTCACTGATTGGGTGACCAAATTAGGGCGCCACGATGGCGAGATGTTAACTACGTCGCCTGGTATGCAGGAGGTCGTGGGTTCGATCCCAACCCTGACGCCTGCTGCTGTATATTGTAAGTTTACTTGTTCTCACCGTGGTTGTGAGGATTTATTTTTTTCCGGGCCCTCCAGCCTTTCCCTCCACATTTAAAAACATGCGTTCAGAGTATTTGGCTGCAATACATTGCCGCGTGATGAGCCACTTCGTTGAGCTGTCATTTGTGGTCAGGTCACTTCTGAAGAAGAGCTGTATACATTTCGATTTAAAGCTTTCGTGACTGCAGGGATTCATATTGTTGGTTCTTTCGGTAAAGTCACGTAGAAGGGAAATTATAAAATAATACAAATTAAACAATACAATTCTCACGACGTTTCGATTGCAACACAAGCAATCGTCATCAGGTGTGAAAGCCATTGTTATATTTTTATTATTTTATTATTTCCCTTCTACGTAACTTTACCAAAAGAACCAAGAAAAAGAGCTGTATAGCCCAGAGGGCCCATACGTGATGAAATGAAAATAGTTTGAGGGGATGCCCCTCACACACACAAATACCGAAGAGGGAACCATTTCACCCGTTTCGTCAAGTCCACTAAGATAACCTCCCAACGAAAGCCGTCGATTAAGATTTGACGAACATTTCACAGGCTGTCCCTAGACTCGAGGAAGAGTGGCTCAAATGTTCAAATAAAAAGTTGACGATGAACACAGCGGGTGGGAATATCCCACCTTGTGGATGGAAGTGAAAGGACCGTGGCGGAGACATCACTAGGGGGCACTGCGATAGCAGTGGGTCTCACTAAAGTCACATTGGGTGCGACAAATCTTATTTCTCATCACTGGAGCTTCTGGCTGGCGCTTGACAAGCTGCAGTTGCAGCCAACCACCTCGGTACTGTGTCGACAATGCGGCAGGCTGTTTGTTGTTCGTCCTTTAAATATTCCCCGTGTGAACTAAATTACGAGCAGTTGCAAATGGGCGAGAGAACTTGGAATTACGTTGAACTGCGTGAGCTACTGTTCATGACTCTTTCGGATTTTGCTTGCTCGAATCGCGTTTTTGAAAGCGTTGGAAGTATACTTTAAGTGCGCTACGTTGCCACATTGTTCGTGATGACTTGTTGTTGTCGTTCCAATGAAGGGGATCGCGCAATATGCTTGTTGTATAATTACCTTTTTAATCAGATGCGGTCCCATTTAAAGTGGAATTTCCTCTTAGTCTGCAAATTCGATCGGTGCAACTTAAGGGTGGTGGGTGGGGTGGGGGGCATACGTCACTCGGACTGTGTTTTATGCAACCGGCCACTGGACTAAAGACAGAGCGTAAAGCAACAACACGGGATGTCTCAACGCAGCCAACATTTGAAGCAAGCCATCGCGCATGCCAGAATCGTTACAAAATGGACATGGGAGAAATGACGACCCATGCTACTTTTCACTCATACGGGGCAAAGGGGCCCCTTTCTCAAAAAATGCGTGGAGGCCGTGCTCGTGTCTATTGGCAGCTCTGAGTCGGTGGAGGACATTCTCACTTTACAGACCCCCGGAGAGATGATTGGTCGTTTGATTGCGATTGCACGGATATGTTTTTTCGTGTCCATGCAAAAAAAAATGTTATTTGCTTTCTTACAGCTGCATTTCACATTGTTAATAATGCAGTGGAAAACGCAATATGTTCGCCAACAAGAACCAACTTAAGTTTTTGAAATGTGTAGCTACGTATGACAACGGTATTGAATGGTCTTTGATACATGACATCTTTTTTTACTCAAAATTGAATTTTTAACACCATGGCATGTAACGATAATCAGCCCTTAATTTAGTCCCAATTATTGAAATTGCATTTTACGTAGTTACATTACTTTTGAACAATGTACAGATTAATACATTGTCAAATTTCTGCCAAAAACATTATTTCACGATTCAAATCATTGCCGCCTTGAAATGTATGCACTGTGAAAAACACAAGTGCACGTTATTATACGAATGATTATTGCAAATATTTTTTTTCATTTGGACGTAATCATACATTTAAAACAGTGTTACAAGCACTGAAAGCTTACCGAATTTAACGCTGAAAGGTCAGAGATTGCATTTGCAAGCTTTGCTATTTGCCAGATATATCTATGCTTTGTAGGTGTTGCAATTACATATTGTCTGCTTTGGAACTTTGCAAAAACGACAAGGGTTATGCATTTCAAAATAAACGACAGCTCATTGCTTTCTCCTGGTCGGTCCGCTTGATGTTCAACACAATGCCCCATATTCCACGTGGCTGGGAGGAAGTTTCTGGCGTGTGGAGCGAAACGTTGGACCATCATGACAAACAACACCCGGTACGACCCGATAAAGCATTCGAGAGAGAATGTTTTCAAAGCACTCGCACAACCAAGAGTAGTTTGGAAAGTCTGCTGCATATAAGTTGGATAATAGTTGCATTATATTTTAAACCTTACAGCACCATTACCCAAAGAGCAACGCACCTAAGTAAGAACGTATCTATTGTTACGACTTTGAAAGCAGTTAACCTTGTGAAAAATACGGCAACAGTTGGCTCATTAGACCCTGTGAATAACCATAACGAGTCACAAGCAACAGGTGATATTGGCATGAGAAATGTTCACAATCTGGGGGGAAAGTCATTGCATTTTCCCAGGCAACTCTACTTTCCACACACGTGTCTGATGCATCACAGGGCACGCAATGTCTATTGCCTTGCAACATTTATTCTGGGAAACAGCCCTGCTGCTCAGAAACAGGGGGTGGTCATTTCCCAAATAACATACTCCACCCCCACCCTCCCCTCCGAAAACTTAGCAGGGCCCTCTTGAAAATGACTCTTGAGATTTAGTGGGGCTTTCCTGGGCTAAAACACATGGAATAAATAAATAAACAAATTGCTAAATGGGTGTACGTCCACCGATCGCTGCCGTACAACCGTGCATTCCGTCCCACCGCTGTTGGGCCACATCGGTGAATTTGTTTTTTTCTTCGGTGATATTTCTCCTGTGCTCACCGCAGACCAGGAGATTCGCTACGTTCGGAGATGAACGGCGCGTTAGGATTCGCTTGTCTGAGAATGTGGAGCAGTCCTCTTTGTCATACCCTCTGCCGCGTGAGATGAAGTCACAGGGGCTTCCAACCCCACTTTGCTAAACAGCCTCTCTCTCTTGCTCTCCTTGGCGCTGTTGAACTCTCCGCGAGCGAGGCCACCGCGGCAGAACTGTGAGATGGGGCGAGAGCGCCGTGGTGTTGGGCAATGGTGAAATAAAGCGTTTTAAAGAGCTGTCACTGTGAGTCTGCGTACTCGTGTTTTTTTTCTATCAAAGTGTCTCCCTGTTCATGTGAGAGCGATACGCTACGTGTCTCTGTTGGGAGACCAAGCCTGAGTGAGTGGTGGAAATTACGATTTTTTATGATCGGACCGTTCTCTGTGTAGGGCAACCACAGTTGACTAGAGTTTGTGACTCACTCTACCAAGAGCAACATCCAGCTGGGTAAATATTGGTAAAATAGAGAGATCTGCAAAACACGTTCCAGTAAAGTTTGATGTCAAAGTATTTGCTATGAATATGGTCATGGTTACGTGGAATGAGACCCAAGTCTCTTGGTTGTGTGTGTGTTGGAAGGATTGGCCCACTGGTTAAGCCCACTGCACTACAATGTGGGTGACATGGCTGTGATTCCTGACCAAGCATGTTAGTGGGATTCCCCTCGGCTGACTCAGCGTCAAATCCGGTGCAGTGTTTAAACATCAGCACCGGGGAGATACAAGCAGCCGTGCGTGGGGCTGGCCACAAAACCACCGCATGCACCAAGTCAGGCTCTATGAGTGTTCTCTTAGCGCGCTTGGGAGAGGGTTTCTGTGTGGCAGAAGCAACGGCACATTGGGTGCGGGCACAACGCTACAATCCGAGCGATCTTGGTTTCAACTATAATTTGTACTTTCTATTTTACCAGGTAAGATCCACTGAGCTATGTAGCTTGTTTTCAGACGCGACCTTGTCACAAATGATAGCTCAACGAAGTGGCTTATCACGTGGAAATGTATAGCAGCCAAATACTCGAAACGCACGTTGACAAATGTGGAGGGGGAAAACCGGAGGACCCAGAGAAAAGTCTACACGGCCACGGAGATCTAGAGAGACATGCAAGCTGAATATATAGCAGGCGTCAGGGTCGGAGGATCGAACCCACGACGCCTGTATACCAAGTGAGGTGTATAACACCTCGCCACTGTGGCGCCCTTAATCTCTGGTGCCATAGCCGTCCATCACGGACGTCTGCAGTGCCACAAATGTCAGCATGTCCTCTCTCTCTCTCAGTGTATTCAGCGGTGATTGTTGGATGTAAATACTGGTCTCTGCCATAGGAATGTGCAATTTCCACCACCGGCTAAGAGCTGCCAACAGAGATGAGCAATGTCCCACACCAACTCGAGCAGCGGACACGCGTGAATGCACGGTGTAGTAGTGTTTTTTTTTACGCATTCGTGTTTTTAAGTGTCACAATATCGTGGCGCTGCGTTTTGGCTGCGGTGCACGAGCACCAATAACAAAGACGTAACACGTTCGTCAATAAGACTGCACTAAATGGAAAATAATATATAATAGGTGACGACTCGGGGAAAAAATGCCCCTTTATTATCTCTCTGCTATGAAGAAGAAACGTTGCTGGAAAGGTTGCCTGTTCCGTATGTTGGCTTTCTTCCCTGTGGACCAGATGTTATTGACAAATGTTTAATTGGGTAAGTGCACACACGTATTGATCGATGCAACACACAGAGGTTTGTCACACATTATACAATTCCGTGGCTTTGTGCACACGGGGTGCAACTTTGAGCTGCCTTAACATTGGATCCATCAAGCCGGAGAGACTGAAGTTTATCATGGACATAACTGCGCTGTCGTAACAGGTATATTTTTTTTTCTCCAGTTGCCCTTTACAACAGAGAGATGTCTACCCATCTTAAAGCCATCATTGACGCCTAAATGCCAGCAAAGTGATAAGGGCAGAAAACTGACGCCCGTGGCGAAAAATATCCACATCGAGAGCTTTCATTCCTCATGGAAATTAAAACCAAATTACCTTCCCATGCAGCACACACCGGGCCTGCCGAAGTCAAGGTGAGGTGGTTCCCATTAATCTTGTTCACCACTGCGTCCGAGTGGTGAACACGTTGCATTGAGTTCATTACCGCGAGGTATCTGTGTGCGCGTAATCATAAACACGCTAAACCTTGCGCTCTGAAGTGGTTATAGGTTTTGGGTTGTTACATTTTTTCAGCCGAAAAATGTATTATATGAGATTGCTGCCGTATTAAAAAACAATTATTACTGGAAGCTTGGAATAGGCCTGCAACGCAGTGGGTGATTAAACAAAAAAATGTGAAAATATTCAAATAGCACTGTGAAAATAGTTGCACTCAAATGTGCTTTTGTTCGTGGCATTGCAGCAGTAGAACGCAATGCAGCGGTGCGCTATGAACCCGGCGACCCAGGTTCCATTTCCACCCACGGTCGACATCAGTGGCGATTGTCTGGCTCGGTCCTTGGGCTTCCCCGAGGTTGACTCAGCCATAAATGAGTACCTGGTAAGATGTGTAAACATCGGAATTGTGGGTAAGGTGAAGGTGGCCTTGTGGGCCCACTCTTCGGTGCTCACGAACAGCACTTGCCCCAACAGTCTATGAAGGCTAAATGGGGGTGGTGGGGGGGGAAATCTTAGCTTTTTATCTTTTGCAGTGGTGCACGCTGTATGATATCTCAAAGTCAAATATTTCGGTCGCTCAAAAAAGATGCGGCGCTTATCTCTACCGGAGGGTCTGAGTCAGTGGTGGAGATTAAACATTCCACAAAGACCATCACCCTTGACTTCTGATTTTACTGACCCTGAAGAGATGATGGGCTGAGTCCCCCCACCCCCTCCCCCGATCGGAATTTGAACCCGTAGCTTTGCGATTGTTCACGTGTCCCTACGCGCTGTCCATGGGCGGAGTTTGCGGGGGGGGGGGCACGGGGGGGCAATGTCCCGCCCAAACTGGACACCTTTATTCATTTATTTTCACGAGTTTACAATAAAGATAAAAAACATCTTCTTGGTTCTTTCGGTAAAGTCACGTAGAAGGGAAATAATAAAATAATAAAAATCTAACATAATAACTATTTATTATTTTTATTTTTATTATTTTATTCCCTTCTACGTGACTTTACCGAAAGAACCAAGAAGATGAATCCCTGCAGTCACGAAAGCTTTAAATCGAAAAATAAAAACATCTATTAATTAATTATATGCACCCGCGATTACTAATGCGAGGGACGAAGCAAACCACTGCCCTACCCCCCCTAAATCTAGAGGTCAAACTGCCTCTGGCGCTACCAATGTGCAGCGCTCTGCTGGGACTGGGGCATCCCCTGTGAACCAGCACTGTGGAGGTGAGGGTTGATGGATCACCACACAATCGTTGTGAAACTCCCTTCCCGTGAACGTCGAGCAGGAACCATAGCCTGACTCTACGGGGCAAGACGGCACAGCAAAACATGTGGACTCCACCTGTTCCGTCTCGATGGGATAGAGTGTTTCCCCCTCGCATAAGTGAGCTTTCACCCAGAGTGCTCCGGTTTCATTCCACGGGTAAGCGCTCATTTAATTGGCCGCTGTCACCTTAATATATAGATGATCGCAGAACTTTGACAATCGTTGGCACCGGCTCATGGCGTGGCTGCCTTCCCGCGTGTCTGTGATTCGTCCTCGAGCCTCTGCGAGGGTGCGTGGATACCGTGCGGCGCGTTACACGTTGAAACTATTGTGAGCGGTGCTTCTCGATTCCTATGACACATTGGGACTTGTTTAATGCCCGCGTGAGGTGCGATGTCGAGGAAGACATTACTTCTAGATTTTTTTTCTTTATCTACGTGACTTTAGCGACAAAACCAAAGAGTATGAAGACATTACTGTTGACCGTGAGTCTATAGCGTGCCAGCCGCAGCATGTCACCCCCCCCCCCGCCCCCAGCCGAATATGAAATCGCAATTACGAGGACAAAAGCGGACGGGAAAAGCCAAAACGTTTCCAATAAGTAAATAGACAAATAACGGGCCATTCGAATGTGAACAAGGAATGACAACAACAACAAAAATTGCTACCTCGCGTGGAGAATCACGCAAAGGCGGCTCCGCGTGACCTTTAGCACCTTAATAAGGAACTCTAAATAACACCGCAACCG